CTCTCCTGATATAGGAAGAATCCTTCCAAAATTCAAAAAGGCGGGTGTAAACCCTGTAACTTCATGAGTTGCTGTATTCAACGCAAATTGGATGTGAGGAATGTGTTCATCCCACAGCCGATGCTGATCTGTCAGAAATGACCGAATCGCTGTACCTATCGTCTGGTTATTTCGCTCTACGAAATTCGCTTGAGGATGATACCTTGCGGTATACCATACCTTTGGTACTTTGTACCTTTTGCACAAACTCTGAAATTGCGTACTGACAAACTGAGTACCATTATCTGCTATGATTCTCTGCGGCACTCCGTACACTAAGAATACCTGATTCTCCATAAACAAAGAAATTTCTTGCGCGGTGGCTTTCCTTAACGGTTTCAACAACGAAAATTTAGTGAACCAGTCACTTACGACTAACAAGAAGGTGTGGCCCTTTTTGGACCTAGGCAAGGGACCTATTAAATCGACAGAGATTATCTGGAACGGAAACTGGACATTCTTTTCCTTTCCCATAAGTCCAAAAGGTAAGCGTCTCAACGGTTTATTTTGTCCGCAAATCTTACATCTTTCAATGTGGGTCTCCACATCTTTTCGCATCTTGGGCCAATAATAATTTTCTTGTATTCTCTTCAAGGTTTTCTGAAATCCTAAATGTGCCGCTTGCGGGACATCATGCGATGCACGCAAAATCTCTGGTCTTTGACCTTCAGGCACCACTAATTTCCACGGCGAGTTATTCGTCTGGACCTTACTCTTTATCGGTACATACTTATACAATGAATCATCGTGAATCTTCCACTTAGGAAATTTATGAGGGTTTCTTGTAACTTTTCCTCTTAAAGTTTCATACCACGTATCGCTAACATTAACTGTACTATCAACAACATTCACGGTTGCTTCCTCATAAGGAATTCTCGAAAGAACATCCGGTACTACATGAAACTTTCCCTTACGATGTATCATTTCAAAATCATACTGTTGTATTTTCACCGCCCACCGAGCTAGTCGTCCTGTGGGTTCCTTTAGCCGGTTCAACCATACCAATGAATAGTGATCCGTGATCACCGTAAACTTAGTTCCCTCAATATATGGTCGAAATTTTTCTATGGAAAAAATGAGAGCCAACATTTCTCGCTCCGTCACTGAATAATTCCTTTCGGCCTTTGAGAGCGACCTACTAGCGAAAGCAATAACATGTTCGTTGCCCTCTATAGTCTGGGTTAGAACACCTCCTAATCCAGTATTAGAGGCATCACACTGCAGAGTGAATGGTTTCGTGAAATCAGGACTCGACAATACAGGAGCACTAACGAGAGATCGTTTCACCTCCAAGAAGGCTTTTTCTGCCTCGTCCGTCCAGACAATGGACTGACCCTTTTTCCTTTTCTTCAGCAGCTCGTTCAACGGAGCACACACAGAGGAGAATTGACGAATGAATCTCCGATACCAGGAGCAGAGACCTAGAAATCGTTTTAACTCGTTAGTGGTGGTGGGAGGCGGGTAGCTGACTATAGCCTCGATCTTATCCGGATCCGTTTGAAGACCCCTTTCATTCACTACATACCCTAAATAACGAAGATTTTGCTTAAAGAACTGGCACTTGCCGAGATTAACTGTGAGATTGGCCTCGCAGAGACGCGAACATACCTCCTTCAATATCATAATGTGTTCCTCAAAAGTAGACGAGACGATTATAATGTCATCTAAATATACAAAAAGGTTAGGTTCAAACTGGGGCCCAAAGACCGCGTCCATTAATCGTTGTTGTGTCTGAGCTGAATTACACAACCCAAATGGCATTACTCTGAATTGAAATAACCCTCGACCCGGAATTGAGAAAGCTGTCTTTTCCCTGGATGCTTCATCTAGCGGAATCTGCCAGAATGCCGAATTGAGATCTATTGACGAGATGAATCGAGCGCTCTTTAGCATACTCAGAATACGATCAACCCTTGGCAGAGGATACGCGTCCTTTTTAGTAACTGCATTAAGACGTCTGCCATCGAAACAGAACCTATACTCCTTGTTAGGTTTTTTTACTAACAAGACTGGAGAATTCCATGCACTCTGGGAGGGTTCTATTACGCCAAACCGCAACATTTCGTCAACCTTTTCATTAAGAACACGTAAGAGATATGGTGAGAACGGGTATTGTCTCACTTTAAATGGTTTGTTGTCCCCCGTATCGATACTCATCACAATCTTATCCGTCCTTCCGAGACGATCATCACCTAGAACTTTAAACAAGGAAACGGTTTTTTCCGCGATTTCCCTCTGTTCATTTGACAGATTAGAAACTGACGTAGAAGGTTCTACCTCGGTACTACACAATTTATCCAACGTGTGAATTGGAACGCTACTTTTTTGATGAACTAAATCCCAAGTGTCATCCTCAAAATTTAACCGCATCTTAAATGCCTTACAAAAACTGGTTCCTGCAATTAAACCACCGGGAACGTTAGGGACTACAAAAAATGGCAAAACTTGAAAAATGTCTTGAAGCTGTATTGGAAGATACACTAAACCTCGCACCTGATGAGTTTGGCCATCAGCTGTGGTTATACTTCTAATCTGTTTGGAAGGTTGGATTTTCAGGTTAAGTTGTTTCACTAAATTCATACTATCCTTCCCTATAACACATACTGATGCTCCAGTGTCTAATAAAGCTGCGACTGTACGTCCAAGAATGTTAAACTGAATGTAAGGACGATTATCCTGTACTTTAGAAACTAAACAAGGTGAAACTTGAGTATTCGGTTTACGACAGAACTGACGAACAATTCCTAACCAGGAAATCCACGAGGACTTCTCGAATTTAGGAGCCTTTATACTATTTGAACGGACTGGATCACCGCGACCCCTGGAAAGTGATCCGGAAATTAGTTTTTTGAACAAGAAGCTGTCGTGACCTCTTTCCGTCCGCAACGAAAGCAGAATTTTCCTCTCGGCAACATACAATGGTTGAAGACATGATTAGGACCTCCACAATTCCAACAAATTAAAGTTGATTTAGCCGAAGACGAAGTAATCGGTTTTTGCTTTGGTTTCAATTCGCGACCTTTAGGTTTATCGCTCTCTTTAGTAACAACAGACACACGAGCTGTAGCGGCATTCAACTGAGCAGTCTTCACAAATTTCCTCTTATCTACCAATGTTTCATTTACCCTTTTACACAACGACAACAAAGTTTCAACGGAATCTACCTCTTGAAGGGCTAACGCAGTAAGATAGCACGGCTGAAGATTACGCTTAATTATCTTCAATTTTCGGTCTTCCGACGGTTTTTCCGACAGACGCGCAAACAACGTATTCATCGCGGCAACATAAATTGGAACGGGTTCGTCTTTTGCTTGGATACGCACTGAAATCTCCGACCACAAATTGTCATCGTAATCATGAGGTAAAAACACAGTTTTCAACAAAGTCACTAGAGAAGACCAATCATTTACGGTACTCCGAACCGAGCGAAACCACGTTAACACGGGCTCCTTAAAGAGATCATACGCCGAAGTAAAAAGTTCATCCTCAGAAACATTCCGAGCGACCATAAGATCATTTACTTGCTCCAGAAAAGAGATGAGGTTGGTTTTCCCATCATAAGATATTCCCCACTTATAAACCGGTACTCCTTTTACCGCATTTACGCTTGGTTGCAACAAACTAGACGTTCTACTAGACAAGTCCTTTGCCTTAATCGCCACCTTTTCTAACAAGTCTGACTCTAATTCTAGATAGTTCGCGAGCCAAGTTTCCTTCTTCTCCTCTACTATCTGTTCTCCATCCTCGGCAGGTTTTGGAGGAAAACGTTCAATTCTCTGAGTTATATGAACCAAACGAGACTTAATTCTACAAACATTTATGTCATTCGCAGACACCTGTTCATCTAACTCTATAATCGCCGTCGTTATACTAGTCAAAGACGCCTCGATCGCTTCTATCTCCGTAACAAGCGAATATTTGGGATCTATACACACCGGAACTTCTCGTGCAACAGCCCGATCTAGAGCTTTAACTTTACTCGCGTGATAGCTTTTTGGCTTGAGCTTTCGTATTCTCAATTCATATTCCAACTCAGACAGACTCAAATATCGCGCTTCCCACGCGGAAAATTCGATACTCATTTTAACAAAAAACGCAAAGTTTCAATTCAGAAAGTTTACAAGTTCTAACAGGAAGTCAAGATTTCTTCTCAAATAGTTCCTTAGTAAGCCTATACCTTAGTTCCAAGTCAGTGAGCACAGTTCACACAGTTCAGGATGTCAAGAAGTTCAAAATTCAAAAATCAACACGCAAAACTTAGTTGAAAGAGAGAGAGTTGCAAAGCATCTAACTAAAGCACAACCATCAACGGCCTCATACGTTGTCTCCGTTTATTCTATCGGGTCCCACACGTTGGTCGCCATTTATTTTATAATGCTACGCCTCGTTCTATTTTTTAAGTGACCCAGGGCTGTTATACCCAACGAAACGAGCATTAAGCACCGGCACTCAGGGTTTCGCTGGGAGCAGGGTTCGTGATTCAATTAATTTATTTATGGGCGCCAGCAACGACCTGCTGAGTCACTTAACGTTCCCGTTGCCGGAACGATAACGGTAATAAAAACTAATTGGACTCTCCTTGTCTCTCTTTGAACTTACCTTGACTTCTGACTGAACTGAGTGCACTACTGATCCTGAAGCAGGATAATGACTCGAGCAATCCCTTTATTAAAATTGATTTATTTACACAGTAAAATAATGACAATTCTAATTAAGCAGTTGACATAAAAAAAAAGGATTACTTCAGATTTACTAAGAACTATTGGAACTACAACAACGCTCAAAAAAAAAAATGTCTAATACTGTGGGTTTTCAAAATATCTGACTAGAATCAATAGTCATGAAAGCGCGAAAAATAAGTACTTATTTGAACGCTTCGCTCTCGCTATTAAATACCCTTCCCCCAAACAAGTGAAATATTAGAACTCTTTAACAATTCCAGAAATAAGAACTTAACTAACTAAACTTATCTGACTACGACTTTCGTTGCTCCTCCTAGCTACGATTCGTACTTCAAAAAATATACTGAAGTCGACTACGTGGTGACCTCGACAACAACAACAGCTCCATCAGAAGCTCTACCTACTAGTGCTCTTGCTTGACCCTAGTGCCACGGATAATGGCCACGTTGCCTTTCCACGTGTCTTTACTTCATCACATCACGCTCAAAATTTCGATTACGCTCAAAATTCGCTTGGCTATCACAACACCATGTCCTGCTTGATTCAAGACCTCTAAGAAAGCTTTTCGGCTTCTAATAGAAAAATTTCTATTCTCCACAAAATGGCGTCTTGTTCAAAAAAAACGTGGAATGAATATCACCCAACTTCTGGCTCCAAAAATACTGGTGAATCTGACTCATTCACTTCAACAACAAGCTAGCCTACCTTGCTTTACTCCAGCCTTAATCCCTAAAGTAATTAACTTTAGCTAAAGACCAAAATCAACCCGAAAATTACCTTATCAAAAGGGATCTCCACGTGCTTCGCACTAACTCGTGGCTACACAACTGCGGTCGGCAAAACTTACAAATATGTGCCCCAGACAATCTCTCATCGCCAAAACACAAACTTCGTTCCTTCGGGAACCTCACAAAATATGGATGGAGACCGAATTTTCTGGGCACCACACTAGCGTCCTTTCGCCATCTTTTCTCCGACCTTTCTACCACGCATCATCGCACGCATCCCATCGACTTAATCATCGATCAACCGTAGGCCTTTCAATCGATCAACCATAGACCTTACAAAAATAGACTAATTTACGGTCTCGATGCGAGAGTCGTGTAGGCAACCTTTTTAAACCGCGAAATTTAAAAGTTGAGCGTAACATTGTTAGCAGGAACATTATTAAAGGAGCTAATTTGCCGTTTTCATACCAGTCACACAAAGAGCTGTCCATTTGTCTAAAAAGTAGGTATATATTTTGTACGTAAAAACGCCACATAAAATATTATGAAGGGTCAAATATTGGACATCGCTTTTACCTTTCATATTTATGGAGAATTTCGCAATTGTTATAATTCATGTTCTTTTCAGAAAAAAAAAGTACGTTCAGACTTACTGAATTTCACTGGGAAATTTACATCGACATGTATTATGTTTTATCTGACGTAAATAAATATTAATTAAACGTAACAATGAAGGCACGTCAAAGCATAAAATCAGGTTTCATGAAAACTACACGAAAAACTTTTTATTTTTATGGTAAGTTTGGAAGCCATGTATTCAATAAAGAGCATACCGCCATTGGCTTTTCATTTTTAATGCGATGTTGTCATCCTTTCTGGTTGAATCATCGTCAGCAGCAAAAAAGCTCCTTGTCGGATAGGATCCTCGATTTAATTTTCTTAAATCCTTTTAAAAATGCTGGCATCATGGCGAAAGTTTCAGTAGATATGATAATGGTGATGGAACGCGTGACTTCTCCAACTTCTAATCGGAAAACGGATTTTCCTCCCGGCAATTTGATTAATCCCCATTTGTAAATTGTAACGGCGTCATGGTTTTAACGAATTTCCGGTAATCTAGATAATCAACTTGAAAAATTTTTGGGTGTGTATGCACGTAAAATATGTTCCGCAACGTAAACAGAATGATAATTAACTGAAATTGATGAGGGAGAAATTAGCAAATGTTTTCCGGATAAACAGTAAAATTCAATTTTGATTTAATTTTTGGCACAGCAGCCACTTTGGTAAACAGACGAATATTGGCGGGTTGTTATCATACGAAATTGGATTACTATAATTTTCCGATTTTAGTTTCGGTTTGAAAGAGCAAGTTATTTGTGTCAGTTTGAGAAGAGCTATTTTTGGATAAAGGCAGGAGCTGAATTCCAGCAGCATTGTGAATAATTGGTAAGTATTTGATAGATCCTCCCTCGCCTGTGAGGAGTAGTTCAGCAAATCCAGCTTTTTAGAAAAATTGTAAAATATGATTTTGCGAATTTAATATCTTTACAATAACTCCTATAAGTTACAATTAAAATCTTGGGGGCATCAACTTTGAATAGTTTAATTTTTTCAAGTTGAAGTTACTGCTAACCTAAGCGTCATGGGTAACTAGATCAGAAATTTAAAAAATCACCCGGTGTGATGGCTGAAATAAAAAGTAAATGTTGATTATTCGAACTTATTATTACCCATTGAACGTCAGGTAAAGAATGTGGTCATTTGGACGATTGATGTCTAATATGATGTCGTTTTACGACTTGTAGAATATGAAAATATGGGTTCTCCATTTCCCGAAGTTCCGCTGTCTGTTGATGATTTTATAGATTTTACAGATAATCTCGGAAACTGCAAAACTGATTATTATTTTGAATTTTAAATGTGCCTCATGTAAAAATTTTCTTACCTAAAACCTAACGAATTTTCTTGAAATTTGTGGTGTGATAACAATATTAGTAATTAAAGTTGTTTACTTTTCATTACAGTGATTTCATATACAAAACTTATCAAGGCTTATTGAAATTTTTGGTGTCGTGGGGATAATGGCGTGTTTGTGTTGGACACACCAATATTACCTGATCCAAAAAAGTTTAACTAAGTATTTTTGAAAATGGAGCTCAGGAAAAGTTTTTCCTATTTTAATAATGTTCTTGAATTTATTTATGAGTAAACTTATAAATATATTATTTGCTAAGGGATGCACCCTAGCGGCTGCAAATGTCTAATTTATAGGATTGACTACACAGTTTTTTTATATGATTACTTAATTAGTGTTTACGTACGTCTACACTTTAAAACGCTATTGCAAAAAATATTATTAAATTATCTACAGGGTGTTTTTGAAATGTGTGAAATAAAAAAATGGGAAATAGTTTACAATAAGATTTATTTTACTGCGTAAAATTTACGTTCCCAAATGGTAAAAATGTCTAGGAAAAACAATTTGAAATTAAATATAAACTGTTATACACACCACGGTAGTATTTCTTGACCTACCATAACTACTATTCAATGAATGGCACAGAACGACTAGGATTACGAACCAAAAAAGCAAAAATGATAAACAACGTGCAAAAACACGATAAGAGCCAGTCATGTATCAGTTGGTTGCCGTCGTGTGTTCGGTTAACGTCTTTGACAATGGTGTATTTTTTCCAATTGAGAGTGTGTCGACAAAAAAGTTTTTAGATGACGTCATTAGTTGTTTAGAAGGGGTTGGTATTCACACGTTGTTAGCCTTTCACCATATCCATGAAAATTTTTAAGTACGTGCAATCTTTCAAAGCAGTCAGTTAAATGTAATGTCGAAAATTAATTGCCTGGTAAAATTATCACTCGATTTCCCTCAATAAACATATAATATTCATAAAAAAATCTACTAGGTACTGCTTTGATAAGACAGTGTTGTAAAATTATGTCATTTAAAATTCGTTAAAATTATTGATAAAACATTAGAAGAATAAAATTTGATTGTTTAAACAAGATATTAAAAAAAATAAATTAATAAATAATACATTCTTCCTGGGAAAATGGAAGTACCTACATTCATGGAAAAACAACTTATAAATGTAAATACACATTTCCAGAAAACAAATAATAAATTTTAAAATACAAGCTTTTGATCATTATGCATACAGATATTTATAAATATTTAGTTAAGTCATACGTGCGTTTAATTAAACTGTGTATGTTTCAGCAAGCCACTGGTTTTTGACTCCATGATTAAATAATGTGAAACAAAATCTGAACCATTGTTATAATGTATTCTGCATCAAGTGTCGTCAACGAAAATCAGGTTCTTTTCGATACTAAAAAACCAAGCTGTCTTTCTTCCGTGCACCACCGACTAAATGAGATGAAAAAGGTAACTGATAAAATGATTAGTTGATTACTGACAATTAAAGAATTTTTTTGTTGATGGTACGTTTGTAATTGGTTAATAAAAAAACAACTCTATAAATCCAGAGACAAATGTGTCTTTTTTGTTTGAATGCAAGCAATATTACCATCTTTTTGATTTATTATTGTTATTTACGATAAAATTACTGGTATTTTAATAAACTAACATCACTCTACACAAATAGTGATTACCTATCTTGCAACTAGTTTTGAAACCGGATTACTAATAATTATAATTTAAAACGCAACCATCAATACAATTGCATAACAGTCTTTGGTATTTATTATAATTATTTTTTTTAACTAATAAACATAACTTGGTCTTTCTTCTGTCGGGTTATTTTCTTTGTATACATCCCCTGGACTTCTATTACTGAATGGTATTGTATTGTTACGATTATGGGTAATTAAAATCGGCGTGGATAAAAATCAACAATTTATGTCTTAGTTATACTAATTTCGACCTTCGAGGTTGTTCTGGAGTTTGCCATCGAGACCCCCGGCACCGCAACCAGGCTTTTCTCTATTCGAATGCCGCAGTCACTAATGATGAGTTAGCACCGCTCATCTCTCTACATACTAGAAAATCCATAGGCGTCGTATCGGGGCGGCGCCGGAGTATGGGTTTATTTCGTAAAAGAATTATTCTGAAAGTCACCTTAATACTTTACTATTAAAGGAAAATCGTGCAATAAAAACAAAAAATGCATTTACTTCTTCTTTTCCAGCATCAATCATGGACTGCCAACATTTATGCTGGAAAATTTCATTTAAGTTTGTCGCAGTTTTATTGCATAATCTGTACGGCGTATATTCAGCGACACCGCCAATCCATTACGCCTTGCATCTGATCTGGTTTAGTTCTATCTTATCGCTTAAAAAAATATATATTTCGAATTAACAAACTTGAGGGGACCTCCTAATTTATATTCGTGTCTATTCTGCTGTTTTTAATAAAAAAATTATAAACTTGACTAATTTTTAGACCCCTTTAAACGGACACGTTCATGTATTTTTTAAGGAAATGCTGTGTTTTCAGTACCCCAAAGAAAAGCGTCATTTTCTTGTGATATCATTTATAACCTTAAAAAATCTGCAACTGCAGTAAACAACTACAAAAATCTTGTTCTAAAACTAAGCATATGGATGATTAAAAAGAAGAAAAGAATCAACGACAGGTAGAAAGCGTATTATTTTGCACATTTTGAATTCAATTTCATTCAACAAGAGACAATTTTTTGTTAATATCTTGCTGATGTTCACGCCATAATTATAATTGTAAACCAAATTTCACAGCACACGTTTGTCAAATGGAACCTATTGTTACGTTGATCGGTGATTAAAATCGAAGTGGGTAAAACTAAAAAATGTATTTCTTAATAACTGGATTTCACTAGACTCTACTTCTCCCATTGTCTGAACATAGCTAACTGTTCCCAACGGAGATTCCCCATTTAAATAGCCGCGCGGTCCTTCTCAAAGGTCTCCGTCACCGCTTCTAGGCTTGTTCTGGCATACCCATCGCGACGTCCGCGTCCAGGCTTTTCTTCAGCGAACGCCGTCGGACGGTGAGTCACCCATGATCGCCGCACATACTAGAAAACCTATAACCGTCGGATCGTAATTTAACTCATTAGACAAAAATTTTATGATTATACATTTATTAAATTATTTATAAATTGAGAAAAATTGAGAAATTATGTGTTCTCCAGCAATAAAACATAGGAGTCATATTTGTTTTTTAATAATAATCTAATCAATGCATATCATTACTTAGTACCCGTAATGATAGAAGTCTTGCCTGAATGCCGGTCATTTACGGGTCAGTGGTGGGTCTTAATAATAATAAAAAGAAAGATTATACGCACAATTGATGATACCTGAGGCTCATAAAAATGTGTTCTCATTTTCAATAGTTAAAGTTGG